ACCAGCAGCATTCCAGTTCTCGACATTGCTGTACTGTTGAATCTCTCTCTTCACTTCTCTGATATTCAGATCGTGGATTAATCCCACACATAGATTGTGTCGTCAAAAGTCCGACAGCCGGTCGGAGCGCTCGCAAAAAGGCGCCTTCGGATATGAAATTGCTTTCGTCTCGCGAAAGTCCCTTACATAGAGCTAACTAATCCGTGCCGACTTCTAAACGGTTGCCAATCATTTCCGGTTCTCGGATTAGTCGCGCGTCGAAAAGTCAGCGAGCTCGTCCGTAAGGGCTTGAAACGGCCCGGTTCCCTGGCAGGACCTTCCGGACCGATACGAAAGTGACAACAATGAGAACCTGGGGATGAATGTTTGCTTCCTAAGCGGCTTACAAACGACTCGCACACGCGCCCAAGAAATGATATTCCGCGCTGAGAAAGATCGGTTTTTTCACGCCTTTCTCAACCAACTAGAATGGAGTGCATTGATCCGATATTAAATCCGTATTAAAAGAAATGTATAAAAGAAGATAGAAACTAGAGGTATTCATTATACTCTGACATGTGAAATGATTTATACTCGTGTGAATTTGATCCACGCTACAGTGACGTAATCATTGTTATTTTCCTAAATTATATTTTTCAAAGAAAATTGGAAATTTTAGCCTCTCAGATTTTTACTCTTTTGTAATCTGATCTACTTCTCAAATTTGTGTTACATTGTGTTTATACATATATTATATGTACAGTATGAGCATGTTCTTTTTGAACTTTTTGCACCGTTTATCTTTTTTCTTTTCGTTCCAATTTGAAAAAAAAAAGAGAAAGGATGAACCGTACAGAAGTTTAATTGAAAAAAACATACCTAATTATTAGCTTTTGATTTTTATCAATACACAGTATTAATAAATACTTTGCGTTACAATAAATAGACAGTATTGCAAATGACTAATGCTCGTTTCCATCAACATAGATTAACTTTAATCTCGCTTCAACTTATTTTCAGTTCTAATAATTAGAAAAAGAGTAAATTGAAGAGTAGATTAAATCGAGATTATAATTAATCTACATTGATGGAAACGGGCATAAAGCAATCGACAAAATATTGCGTACAAAAAAACAATTTCACCATGACATTGTGAAACATATATAACGATGTAGAAGCAGATCAAATTGAAGCATGTACTTCCTCGCATGTGTTCCGCTCCTCGATTAGATTAGTGTCGCTACCTTAAATTGCACTTCACTGATAATTTCCCGCTCATCAGCCTGATGCACGAAACGCGTGTAATTGTCGCATAAGGACATAACCAGGACGATAATTAGGAACTCGTGATCCTCTAGCGAGAAGTAAACAGGTAACGAGCGATCAACGGTGCGACGTATGATCGATGCGTAAATCCGTCAGCAATTACATCTGGTTGTTAGTCCGACGTTAATAATTTTCTAATCAACGCCGCGTGAAAGATCGATCGTATTTGTACCGTGACGAGCCGCGGCGTCGCTCGGTCCCGCCGTTGCGCTATGGCGGAATGTAATAATCGAGACGGGAAATTGGAATGGTCGGACGATGGCTTTAACGGCAGAGGGAAGGGGGAGGCAGGGAGGGTCGCCCTGTAAAAAAATCGCCTGGGTCAATCTACGTGAAAGCGTGCGGCGCGGCAATTACATCGGCGTTACTCCTCCTAATTGTCTTTCATTAATAATTCTGTGACCGCGGCGCGGACAGCGTACCATGGAAGGTAGATACACTACTTACGCATTGACGATTATGGTCGCGGCGCGAGACCGACCGCGACTGATAACGCCAATAACGAATGCGCGGTCATTATCTCAAAAAAAGAAGGCACCTTTTAATACTCGATTTATGCTTCTCGTCACGTTATTCGCGAAAATAAGATCTTTACGATGGTTCGATATAGATTAGGGCTTCGTTCGTTATAAGGAGTTGGCTTGTGACTGCAATAAGCAGCTTTACAGATATATGTTTATTTATTCATAAATGTAGCGGACTTCTTGATACTTGTAACGTATAGACACAGATATTAATAATTGCAAATCATGTGACTTTGTGCAAACTAGATGACTTTTTAATAGATCTCATTATAGCTTGTAATATGTTATGACTTTTTTATCGATATTCGTTAAAAAGTAAGCATTATTTACTGATATACATATATATTCTTCATATCTATCTACAAATTTGATTAAAGCTGAATGTAAAGTGCTAATAATATATTAGTAAACGTGTCAATAATTGGTTAGCTTAGATAATATCATTTTATTATTACTTGAAGAATTATATTTCAACTATAAAAATCATTATTGTAAAAAACATGGGTTGTAGGAACAAAAGGGACAAATAATGAAAATTATGAGAACGTTTGTTGTCACGTGACAATAGTCACGTTGCGTTATACATATAGATACGGTTTGATCAACGTACATCGTAAAATAATGATTATAAAATATTTATTTTTACAAATATCGCTTAATAGCTAGCTTTTCGTTTTATCTTTTGAAAATGGATTTTAAGTTATCTCGGAAGAAGACATTTTCTTCCAGCTAACATTCTCTAGTGAGTTATCGTATAATGGCTACGTTTACACCGTGCATTTAGGCCGCGGCCTATACAATAGATGTCCTTGTTTATCCTGTAGGTTAAACAAAGACACCTATCATATAGGTCGCGGACTAAGCGTACGGTGTAAACGTAGCCATTGAGTCCAAGGTATAACAAAAACATAAGATAGCACGTGTACAAAAGAACGCATGTACGTGTCGCACGACTCGTGCTTAACACGATTCACAGCCGTATATCCCTTATCGCGGGCACTTTTCCCTATTCCCTCGTGTCACCGTAGCTAGGCAAGGACGACGATTATCGATTACCATGACGTGACTCTCGAGATTTCCAAACGCCGCGCCGGGGCTGGTCATTGGTCTTGTCCGTGAAACACTTAAGGGGAGTTATAAATAGCGACGCGATGCAAGGTGCGAGCCGTCGCGGCGAGTCAATGTCGTGGAAAAATTGGCGCCTTAATAGCCCGCTGATGTTTTCACAAGGAAGGAACGCCGGATTTAGTGCCGTGGAAGCAGTATTAGTGTTACCCGCCGTTGCCCGTCGCCGCTTCTAATCACATCGCCGTCGTCCGCGTAATTGTCGCTAATGCGCTTCTTTGAGGAAATAAGCCGATTACGGAACAAACAGCCGGCTTTAGTCATTGTAGTGAGCGGCTTCGTTGGAGCGTCGCGTTTAAAAACAAGCAGCCCAGAGAGAAAAGGAGGACGATTGGTCGGGAGAAGAAGCTGCGAATTAACGGAAATCGTGCCGATACGCTCGGCACAGGTCACCTTAATAGCCCCCTCCGACGAGTTCCGAGAGAAAATGCGATCCAAGATTTCTGTGATCACCGTGCGGTTTGTAGCGACGCGAACGTTTATTATCGCAGTAGAAATCGAGTAGCGAGTAACACTTTTCAAACAAGCATTATATCTACATTTATACTCGCAGCTTTGCGCGAGTCATGGAGTTAATAATTTGCACGCGTACCCCGCGGGTTTTACAATTAGGATAATTAACGTGAAAGTTTCACTGTAATTAAAAATCGATTTTTTAACATTTCACTTGCATCTCCGTTGTGCGGATGTGGGTTTTGCGTAATACCGGTGGCTTGAAAGTCTTACGAAATTCGGCGTTGTCCGATCAAAAAAGTTATGACAACTTAGCACATTTGTTCAGCCCGAGGGATTGAACTCTGGAGGACAACGGGGGTACAGGTAGAAAAGATGAATGAAATAAATGAGGGTAACATAATTAAAGTAGCTCCAATTTAGAACCATTAGAATTCCTAAACGTTGTCGGTCGGATGGGCACAGCAACCCACAGAGAAAGAGAGAAACAGAGAAAAAAAAGATATACGTTTATCTTAGGAGATATATCTGATTCTCGAAAGAGAGGTGTTCTTTATGCGCGTAACTAGCGACGGCCGTCGTGATCTCACCGATTGGAACATCCGGTCGGATCGTGTCCCGTAAATGTCCTTGACACCTCCATGAAAGTTCACGTGAGCGATCAGGTGAACAAATCGAAATCACAATACTCACACATTTCGTAACTGTAGACTATCATTCGACTATTACACTTTTCAATTAAATTGAAGTTTTGGCTATTGATAGATGAAAAAAAATGACACATTTATTCTTTTTATATATATAGCTCTGTTTGTCTCTATTGTATATTTTAAGAACGACTTAATTGTGCAGAGTAAATTATGTATGCCGTTTGTGTATAAATAAATGTACATGTATAATATGGGAAAATGGAACAAAACCGAGTATTATCTGTTTTTGAGAAGAAAAAAACAATAAAATTGAATTGCTATTGTATTTAATAAAATTTTAAAGCAAATGAATGTTTCTAATTTTGTCCTTTGAATTGATGAAGGCATATAACTTTCTATAAGACCCGTCTATTCATTTTTATCCCATTTTGTCTACAGTATATCTGTCAAAAATCTAACTACCTCATTACTCCGTTTCAGTAACATGACTACTTACGCCATGAACATATTTCTTTCTTCTCTCTGTTTAAGAAAAACTAGAAATTTTCGTAAAAAATCAAATAAGAGAAAGATTCCTGTTCGCGATTAAAACGGATCTTGGTGCTTCATAATATTCATGCAAAGCACAGATATATTATTTAGTTAATGTATAAAAGTCTATAAACTACACGCCGATTTGGTTTGTCGGACTTGAAATGCATAAACTAAAACTGGAAATATTATTACAAATTATATTGATTGTCTTTAATCATAATAACACTATAAAACACCTTAACATTGCAAAGAACTTATTGCAAAAAATATTATCTGAGATTCGAATTTGGATCTTTCATTCCGTAGGCATTTAAAGAAAGTCTATATTCTAATATCGCCTCGGCTTCATCATGTCGTTATACCGAGCGACGAGCACTGTTTCGAAAGCGTGTAATAAAGTATCATTTACCATTGGACGTAACGGAAGCGCCGTCGTGGTGGCTGGCGTCGCTGTCCTCGTCTAGATTGCTGTTGCTCAAGGACGTTCTGGATTGATGCCTGACACTGAGGTCTCGCGGTGTTGAGGGTGGACTTCCGGGTGGCTCCTGACTGGGCAGCCCGGATTGGTGCATCTTGCTGGACGCGCCGCCTAAGATATCGGTGATCATAAACCTCGACCTCTGCGGCATCGTCGTCGAGGCATCGCCCCTTTCTAAACCGTTGTTATTGTTCAAATTGTTATTCCGTGGGTCTAGCCCGTTAGATAGACGTTCCATTGCCACGCCGTTTCGATCGACAATGTTCTCCAGCCGATGCGCTTCCAGGCCCGACATTCTGCTGAGATTTAGACCGTTATTGGCCACGGCGACGCCACTGAGAGCGGCCACGTGGTGGTTCTGCTGATGATGGACCGTCATCACGGTAGACGCAGGTGGTTCCTTCGGGCTACGGGCACCTGCAGGTGCCTCTGTCGCCACCCCAGGACTCGCCCGGTACCTGGGAGACAGAATCTTGCCGACGGTGACGACGTAGCCTATCCCAGGAAGAGATCGTGCCCTCTCACTCTATTTCAACTGCACTTCACTGTATCCTTGGTAGACCCAATTTCTTTCACTCCTCTTCCCCTCTTGCGCGTATGATTGGCGCGTTGTTCGGCATCATTTGACGTTCAATCTCGGATCTGTCACGATCGAAGGATTGATTTTCCAACAAGAGGGTCAAAAAACTTTTTTTGTGACGAACATTCGTATCAGGAACATGAATACCCAGGGATTCCCAATAAAATTCAATCTTAAAGATTTAGAGATTTATGTATGACGTTGGGACTTTTAAATCGTCAAAATCCTGAAGACGATTTAGTAAATCAATCGAAGCGAAAATCTTACAGAAAAATCTGGACTAAATGACGTGTAAGACAGATATTTGCGTCGCAATGTGTATGCACCTTGCACTTCCTCCCGCTCGCTCGATCGCTCCACCTCCGCTACCACCTTCTTCCCAGACGCAATTAAGGGGCCGCTCGGCTCGGCTCCCTGGTTAATTGCTAATTGGCCACTTAACATAATTGCCGCGCATAAGAGCGAAGCCGCCGGCCATTTCCGCTTTTCTTTTTCTCCTTTTTCTTGCTCGTTCAATTATTAATTATTTTTATATAAGACTTTTGCGGCGTATTCTCCTCTCACTTTTGCACGATTACGCGCTCGGCGCGTTTATCTTATCAATGAAAGTAGAAATAAGTTCGAGACCGCTCGCTAACCAATCGTTTAACTATGAAATAGACGCAATACTTCAAAAGAAAAATTTCTAAACATTAACACATCCTCCGCACTAGATCACAGTTGTGCCTGATGAACGATCACGAGCAATCACTTCTATCAAAGTCCAATCAGTCTAGCAACCACCACTCTGGTTTGATCTATCTCGATCGCGTCCGTTCGAGAGTTTATGTTTAGCCGGCTTATCGTGGTTGCCTGTCACGCGTACCAGGATTGATCATTCTACGGTGAAACTTTCATTAAGCTTACCGATTTCAAACCGGCAATATACCATAACAGTCTATCAACACTGTTCCCCTTTGGACTGCACTATCACCTTACTCTTTGTTCACGTTTCGTAGCGTTATTCGACCATCCAGATCACTTTGACAGGACCGAGTCAAATTTTAACAAATGTTTGCAAATTGAACATCCGTCGCGACAGATTTCTCGAACGGTAACGCCTTCCGGTTGGCGGATTAGACAATCACGAGCGTGCGATTCCGGGATAAAGGTCGACCTGATGCGAAATCCTGATCTTCGCCGGACGAAGAATCGCTCCGATCGGTCTGGCCAGAACTGAGAACGTAGTCGTGCACGCGAAACGTGCGTGTGCATCGAGTTGCCACGACTGGTCTGCCTGTACTGAGGACGGCAGTCACCTCCGCTCGTTGCTGGGCGGCCATATCGGGATTCTGACACGCCCCTAGATTGCCCTACCACTGATACCCCCAGGCCAATCCCGCTCGTTGCCGTTAAGCATCCCGCCAATCCTGACTGAAGCAACCTCGGCGCCTCCGCTATGTGCCACGGCTACGCCCAAGTAATTTGAAATGTGTTTCAGCGGTAATTCGATATAAAATTGTAGTTAATATCTTTCATTATAGTCCGGACGGAGGGAAAGGGGGCGCCCAAGCTCCTCGCGCGGAAGACGACGATGGTGGGAGGCATGGGAGCAGAGGCAGGGGACTGTACGGGGAAAGGGGGAAGCGAACGAAGCAGGGTGGAGCGGGCGGTGATACTGGCCTCCCACTTCCAACTCGTTCTCCTCGAGATGGAACAGCGAAGCGGATCGTCGAGAGAACGACGGGAGAGGGAAGGGAGAAGGAGAGGGTCCAGCGAGACCTAGCTGGAAGGGGTGAAGTGCCATCGAAACGGAGAAGGGTGGTCCCAGCTCCGCGAACTTACTCCGCGAATTTACGAATTCACGAGGACGAGCGGGCGAGCGAACGAGCGAACTTGGGAGTCCGGGTGAGCGAGCGTCATGTTTTTTGCTACGTGAACTTTTTTTTGCGTCTCCCTGTCGTCGAAGCTCAAGAAAAGGCTCGTTAAACATATCAAAGAAGCACGTTGATTAACCTGAGCTGTGTTACTAATGTCGCAGGGTGACGTTGAGCGTTAAATTGTGAAATAATACAGTCAATCAGAATAATGATGTCAATATACACGCGCGCGCGGGCGCAAATATATATAAATGGTGAACCAAATTACGTAAATTGTTGGTAAGATGACGATTATATCTGTAATAGATATAGCGAAATCTTTAAAACTGATGTGACTCATGTATTTCATTGCAATTAATGGTAATTTGTAATCACGAACCCAGACAGCACACAATATTTATAAAATATTTACAAAATATTTCTAAATGTTTGTAAGACCTATTATATATATTTTATAAATATTTTTGTGGTCTTAGATTGCATAGATCATAAACATTTATCATAAATATTGTGAAATATTTATTGTAAATCTTATAATAAATGCTATGGAAATACTTAAAAGACATTATAATTCAAATAAAAAATACTTAACAGAAATATTTATTTATGTTAATCATAAATATCACATTAAATATTTAGAGAGTCTATTTTTTAATAATTAATTTTAATAATTAAATTTAATATTTCGAATAAAGCTTTATATAAAATATGTATAAAATATTTATATAACATTTAAAAAAATGAATAATAATAAATATTAATCATAAATATTCTTTGCTATCTGGAAATGAATTTACGTGATATAGGAGAGAGTGGTCTAAATCGGATCTATTTGCAGTTTTTGCTCTCTATAAGACGTAAATAAAGTCCGATTGTAAAATCGAAGGTGCCATTGCATTGGAAAGATCATTTAATTCCCTTAATTTTTGCTTCAGACCATTTTGACGTATCTCTCATCTATGTTAAACTATAATAGAAAATGTAAAAATGCTTTTTCCGGTCCGATTTGGAACCGATGGTTCCAAATCGGACCATCCCCTAGTTCAAATCGAAAACTTCTATTTTTATGGATTTTTAGATAGCAATTTAAAATATTTTAATGTATTTTTTTTAGTATTGAGTAAAAACGAGCAATTTGACAGTCAAAGATAAATTTTTTCGGAAAAAGAAATTACTAACTGTTTATATTATTAGAATTGAAATCATAATAAAACTCAACTAATCTGAGTCTGATGACTCATGATATTTTACTGATTTAATTGGTTGGACCAGATCTGGTCAGCCGATCACTAGTACTACAACCAGGCCTATAAGTTATTCACTGTACTGTCCGATTTGGACAGAAGTCCTTTTAAACTTGGAACAAATTTTACAATATGGTAAATCGCAAAAGTGATTACAAAATGCTTGATATTTTTGAATTCTACACTCTTTAATTATCTTAAATCAATTAAAATAAAAATAAAAATAACACAATCCGTAAAAGCCATACGAGTCACGGGCTGATGAAGGTGCCAACGATTAATTTCAATCTTAATTAATCATTAATGTGTAGAATTCTCTTTATTTATACAATAAAGAGAATTCTTTATTTATACAATAAAGAGGATTCTACACATTAATGATTAATTAAGATTGAAATTAATCGTTGGCACCTTCATCAGCCCGTGACTCGTATGGCCTTTATGGATTGTGTTATTTTTATTTTTATTTTAAGAATTCGAGTCTGTAGAAATTGTTTTTAAATCAATTACTTTTGAAATTTTTAACACCTTTTAAATAATGATTTACAAGGATTTTCTTTTTTAAAAAAATTTTCGCACGCGATGGCTGAAAATACATATTTGCGTCTATTTTATGAATGTTATGACAGAGAACTGTCAAACTGCTATCACATGTTCGGTGTTTTATAAGGACTTTACATTATAAATAGTACGCAAATCTGCTTAACCGTATTCATTTAAATTAAAAAGGTCCTATTTGGAACACAATCCGATTTAGACCACTCTCCCCTACGTATATACGAGTATGTATAATGAGTAAATTTTTAAATCTTTTATAAAAAAACGAATATTTGGATAAAAACGGACATTGCAGTTGTTTAGAGTTTAGAGCTATCTTTTTGTTCGCGACTTACGTACAGGAAGAAATAAAAATAAATTTATGTATAGAAAGAAAAGTTAAATGGTACGTGTTATTGTTATATTATTTGTGTATAAATAATCGAATTAAAACCATAATTGTTTGTTCGTTTTTTTCTAAAATATTCAAAAATAACAATCAACTGCTTTTCGATCTCTGATTCACTCTAATATTAGGAGAGAATTAATCTACTCCGGTGGATATATATGTATATCTGACTCGAGTGTCGCAATAAAACGCTCTACAAAAGTATGAAATGCTTGTCAAGTGCCTAGAAATATCTATGTAATACGAAAATATAATTCATGATGGTTATATGAAGTATATTGGAGCAATTATTTTGACATTAGCAGAATCGAATCGAAATGAAATTAAATTCGGTAGAGTTGCAAGAATGATAGAAATATAGAAATTAGGGATGTATAACATTATTTAATTATAGAGGACCATGCTTATATATAGTATAAGTACGGTCCCATATGGTATACCATAAATATTATATTTGCAAAAACGCATAAAAAGTAACTAAAATAATAGACTGCTGAAAATTTTCTAATATTTATCTTACTATTAATTAAGTTACGTAATTAAAATTAAACTAAATTGATTAGTATGCAATAGTTACGTTAATATATTGCAAAATATACAATAACAAAAATTTGTGAATTTATAATTAAATGCAAGCTCTTATCTTTTCAATTTTATATCACATATACATATAATCATATATGTGTGTGTGTATGTGTGTGTGTTTGTGTAACATAGTTTAAATTTGTTTAACTTACGTTAACTGTTCCGCTCTAATTTAAAATTATCATTTACCGATTCTATTCTACAATTTTACATTGCAAATAAAAAATCGTTTCCTTAGAGTCGGTTTGTGGGACAGCTCATTTCTGTGAAAGAAATTAACGGAGCCTGTAATGCGATCGTCAAAGCATGACTCAACACGAAAGCCGGTGACTCGTAAGAAAATGCGCGCGGCTAATTTTTTCACCTTTTATTTTACATACACCTTTACACGCGTTGCCCCCTTCGCGGGTACGGCGAACAAGCGTGTTCGTGTTGCACGGGTCGCGCCTGAGAGGTGATGCGTTCGTACATACACGT